TATTACGGTCACTCGATGTTAATATCTGGACGCATTAAATTAATATACTACTACTAAAATAATATACACAGAGCCGAAGTAGCTCAGGGGCTAAGTGCTCGCTATAAATTTGACAGTACGTGAGTAACCCGGGTTCAATCCACGGCGGCACCAATTAAATTGTTAGTTAAAATTATAAGTAATGGTTTACCACATGCTATGCGGTAAAGGCAAACATCGCGAGGAAACCTGCATTTCTGAGAAATAAGAAAAAAGAATATTTCAAATACATATGAAGTTGGCCAACACGCGTTGAGATAGCGCGGCGGACATTTCCTTGCCATAAAACTCTCTCAGAAATGAGAGGACGCCTGTTTCCAGAAGTGGGACATATACAGGCTCTTACTTTACCTTAATTTACTTTACATACACATAAGTATTTATACGTATACGTATTTATACTTTTGCACGTCTTAAGCGCGTAGCGCGCAGTTATGTTCTGCTAGGGTACTAAAATTAAGATTCCAACGTTTAGTCGCATGAAATCATATCTAGCATAATCATATCATATCATTTATATATATATATATATATATATATATATATATATATATATATATATATATATATAAATGATCTTAAAAGCACATTGTCAGAAAGATAAATAATTGTTGAACTTATTAATATTTTTTTTTGAATCGATTAATTGCTATATTTACATAAAAAAGGAGTTTTAGTGACTTATGTAGTGAATTTATCAAGTGCGCATGGCGGCGTAAACACGATAACTTTTGAAAAAATCAATTGTTTAATTCAATCTATGGAATGCCATGGAATTTAAATGGCAGTTTAATTTTGTTTTGTTTAGTTATAATTTATTTTGTGGCTCTAAAATGGCGAAATTTTACGGTGGCTTTTGCAGCCTTGTATAAATTTATTTTACTAAATAGGACGAATTCGCACTCCGAGCAACAGCCACAGAGTACTTTATTTACTCCGGCCTCAAATGTTCAAGAACTTTGTTTTTAAAAAGAAACTTGTTGGAAGCTTTTTTAATGTCAAGAGGTATTTCGTTCCAGAGTATTGTAGCCGTTAGAGCGAAAAAGTGGGACATATAACTAGTACGGTGTTAAGGTGTTAGCAACTTTAGATTATCCGAAGAAGGGAGAAAACAATTATGAGTATCTCCTAGATACTGAAATTTAGATTTCAAGTACTCAGGAGCACAAGGATCGTTCAGGATAGTGAAAAGAGTGCAGAGTATTCTCACATATCTGAGCTGGTGGATAGGCAGCCAGCTAAGCCGAGTACGAAAAGGTGATACATGGTCATATTTATGAAGAACATAAATGTATCTGATGCAGTTAGTGAGGAGACGATCCAATGTGTTAAGATGCTGTTGAGATAAGTCTGTGCAACACACATCTGCGTAGTCTATTATCGGCAGATAAGCAATTGAACAAGCAAACCTTTTGTAGTGGACGAAGGAAGAAAATTTATCAGGCCATAAAAAGATCGCAATGTCGCAGTAACTTTGCGGATTACCTCCTGGATCTGCTTGTTCCATGAAATACAGCTATCAACGTACAGACCGAGACTCTCAACATGTAGAGAGTATGGGAAAGCATTGTTGTTGTACGAAATAAACGACAAAGTGGAGATATCTAATTTGGTTAAGTATCTACGAGTAGAGCTACCAAAAATGATCCCTTGACTCTTATAGGGATTCACGTGAAGTCCAAAAGCAGTGGACTATTCAAAGATATAATGTAAATCTTCGTTTAGTAACGCTATTGAATTATGAATATTGGATGGTTCCGCTTCTGCATATAGTTGTAAATCATCGGCATTCAGATGATAACCACTCAACAGTCCACGGTGACTACAGTCCCTAAAAACTATTATTGCCTCACCAGTCTAGGCACCAAACGACATTTTTCGGTTTAAGCACGTACGGCGCAAAAGATAGCTGTTATTAATACAGTAAAAAAAATATAGATGATGCTATATGAAGTTTGTTTGTAACAAAACATTTAAAGAAAAAAAAGTTTAAATTAAATTTCGCCATTTTTGTTTGTGGAATGTTAACGTGTGAAAAATGTGATAACTTTTCTGTTTTTATACATTATTTCTAATGTTATTGTACATCAAACTAATTGTGAAGATATTTTCTTCAGTAAATATGTATCATTACGACAATTCCAAAACGTTTAAATATAATAATTTAGCTCTAAATATTAATCACTATACGCGATCATCGTTTATTGATTATATGTTGTTTAAAATATATTCTCATCTGTTTTTTGTGTTAAATGAATGCAAAATATAAAATAATGAATCACTATTAACACGTTGATAGCAATTTATAAACGAAATATCTGTTGAGATGTGTCTAGAAATTCTTAAAACCTATTTTTTCATTTATTTACTTATTTATTCAAATTTATATTGGGTAAACATTATATACATGTATATTGAGTATATAAGATGTTATTGATATTGGTGTATTTTAAAGATAATATCATGTACTCTTATAATATAAAATAATTGTCTCCAGTAAGTATAACAATTTTCTTGTAAAACTCGAAATAAAAAATAAATACGATTTTTTTTGATATTCCCATTTTTAAGCTTTATTGTCGGATTTTATTTTTAATTTGACTAATTTTCTTTTAACAAACTTAAACTTTGAATTCTTTGAGTCTTTTGAGAATATTTTTTATTTGAATGTAGCTATAGTTTTTCAGTAGTAATCGTTTTTGTTAAGACTGTCTCGCGCGGTCGTAAAAAAATAGCGTCATTTAATTCGTGGACAGGTCGGTTGTGTGGATAAGAGCACTTGAGGTTTAATGTGTTAAGATTAATTAAAATTGAAAACAGAAGAGGTGAGAGAATACTGCCTTGAGGGACACCGGTTAATACATCACTCCAATTGGAGACATTATGGCCAGAACGCACGGCCTGTTGGTGCCCTCAAAGATGTGATGAGAACCAAACCTAGGCTGAAGACGAGATATTCAAGTGAGACAGTAGAGCTAGCAAGATAGAGTAGTAGACAGTATTAAAAGCGTTAGAAAAATCTATTAAAATAAGAACCGTTAATATGGAACCTTCCATACCCTCTCGAATATCTTCAGTAACCTTGAAAAGGGCGGTTGTAGTGCTATGCCCAGAGCAAAATCCAGACTGATATGAAGAAAGAATCTTGTTTTTGAAAATAAAAGTAGAAATTTGCTTATAAGCAACAGCTATGATAACTCCTCGACGAGGAAAACTAGATATGCAGAGTTTGGCTTCATTTTGTTGATGAGACCTTGCCTCCGAACTTTATAGAGTGACTACAAAGTGTATTTTGGTGACTGCTTCTGGAACTTCTCGACAAGGAGAACTAGATGTGCCGTGTTTGGGCTCTATTTGTTAGTTATGATGAAACCTTACCTCCGGACTTGATAGAGTGACTTGAAAGTGTACTGATGACTCCTACTGGAAATCTTCGACGAGGAGTTGTTAGTTATGATGAGACTTTACCTCCGATCTTGATAGAGTAACTTGAAAGTGTACTTTGAAGACTGCTACTGGAATTCCTCGACGAGTAGAACTTAATGTGCCGAGTATGGCTTCGTTTTGTTGGTTATCATAATATCTTAGTGTAGTGTAGTGACTTGAAAGTGTACTTTAGTGACTGCTACTGGAACCCCTCGACGAAGAGAACTAGATGTGCCAAGTTTGGCCGCGTTTTGTTAGTTATGAATAGTTCTTACCTCCGGACTTGACGGAGTGACTTGAAAATGTACTTTGATGACTGCTACTGTAACTCCTCGACGAGGAGAACTAGATGTGCCGAGTTAAGCCTCGATTTGTTAGTTATAGAATATAATACATATATAGAATAGACCTTACCTTCGGAAATGACGAACTGACTTCAAAAAGTACTTCGTTGACTGCTACAAGAACTCTTTGACAAATAGAAATTCAATTTATAATTTTTTTTAAATTTTCACTAATATTGGGCATTGTGATTCGTGCGCCTTTTGATTTTCCAAACATTTTTTTAATTGAAGTAAAGTTATCAGAAAATTGGAAGTAACGAAAAGTGAAAACTTGTGTGTTTAAACTACTTTAAAAAATTTATGTATAGTCACGTTATACGCAATTTTTTTAATGTGCTTAGGGCATGCACAATTAGATTTACCAATGGTTTTTTTTACTATTATAAGCCAGTTCTTGACAAATATACCACCTGATTTTAAGTAGTCAAGCAGCCGAAGATGGTTAAGCTCACTGACTTAGAATAACAAAATCGTATTTGCTCTTGTCTTGAAAACACCCACATTATAATTGAATGGAAAGACAAATATTGATTAATTATTCCACTCCTTTGCTGTACGCATTATGAACGACGAAGGAAATCGTTTGGTTCGAATTCGTGGTATGTTGACAACAAATTTGTGAAGACCAGCCGTGCATCTGGCGGTGTTATGATGGAATGGACATGACGAAATTATGTCATGCAATTCCTGCACACACTTTCCAAAATGTGTCATCTAAACCACCGAAAGACTGGCTATTGACCTGTGCTCGAGACTGGTAATATTTGTTCTAACCAAATTCATGTCACCAATTACCCTTCTAGCACGCTTATCCATTGAGTTCCAAGCTGCTAAGTGGCATTTTGCAGCTCTAGCTCATGTAACTCTATGCATAACTGGACTTGCGGGTTATTTTATATAATAATTAATTCTTTTCGTGTTTGTTCCAAAAGTTTTCCACTTATCGTCAATCTTAATTTGCAAAGTTTTTATTTGTTCTATTCCAATGAATACTTTACAGACAAATTCTTATCAGTCGTGAAAAGAACGGGACTTAATTGAACGTTTGAAATTATTAATATATTACGAAGCTGTTCCTTATTCTCCACATTAAGAACATAAGCGTATGTATATTTCCTTGAGAAGTTATTAACGCAGGCTTTGTTTTCAGGAGCGATGACCCCTTCTCATTGGAGGCTGTGAGAATTAGCAATGTCGCGTGTCATCGCCGCTGCTTGCTTCTTTATAGCTCATGTTTTGTCTTGCATAAATGGTGAGTGATAAATCATCTTTAACGAAATAAAATAAATAGATGTTAAACAGAAAGTAAAATTAAGTATATTATTATTATTCATTTGTTTATCCAAGATGTTTAAGACATAGAGAAATATTTTGCCAAGATAGTGTAATAAATCACATAAATATGAATAGAGTTCTTTCACATAAAAAAGAGTCGTAAAATCCTCGCATTTAAAATGTTGAACTTGTGAAATAATAATTTAAAATTCTACATTTAATCAAGCTCCGTCTGACAAGCTACATTTACGTCCCCGTTGAGGACATTTCATTTTCTATAACATTTCTTTCTTAGAGTCTACTTGCAAAAAAATTTATTTTATTACATCCGTAAATAAATATACCTCTTCAGAGGAAAGAAATTACTAGTTTGAACAAATATTTATAATGTTTCAAGAACAACCAAAACATTACAATTTCAAATATATTTTAGATTAAAATATTATTGTTTCTCAGTTTTTCAGTATCACGTCTTAGGAAAAGTAAAGAAGTAAGCTTTTCTTTTCAAATAATTTCTGCACTTTATTTTTATTTAAAATAAATAAAAGAGCATATAATAAATTTTCTTATATAATATTTAATTTAAATTAAAATTAATTATTTACGATGGATGAAAAAGTTCACGTTTTTGAAAAATCTTTCTTTTTTTAAATTGTTAATAGATTGATGTGACAAATAGAATTTGCATAGATACCTACAGTTAATATTTTCTCAGTATATAATTTATGTAACTCTAACTAAAAACGGTACGTAATGTTCTGCAAGAAAACTTACAACTTAAAATCATTATAGTTATTAATAAAAGTTACTTAGGCCACAATCATGTTACAAGTTTAACCCTTTTATAAGAAAACCATGACAACGTGAATTTGGGTCATTTCCACCTGCCAATTATAATAGTCGTATCTAACTTAATATGCGAAGTGTTTTTCAAACTATATCTGATTTTCAAAAAATATCAAATATAATCTTTTGTCGATCATATTTGTATAATAAATGACAACGGATTGACTAAGCTATCGTCTGATTTAGTATCAATAGCGTGTAGATCACTTATACGAAGGGGATACAACTGGTCTTTTTTTATAGGAGGGGTGCAAACGAGCATGCGGCTCACCTGGTAAGTGACTACCGCCGCCCATCAATAACCGCAACACCAGAGGAATTGCAGATGCGTTGCCGGCCTTTTAAAAAGGAGTAGGCTCTTTTCTTGAAGGTTCCTAAGTCGTATCGGTCCGGAAAAATTTGCTGGTGGTAATAGATTCCACACGGAAGTTGTGCGAGGAAGAAAAGATCTTCTAAATCGCACAGTGGTGGGCTGCCACTCATCCAGGTGGTATGGATAGTTTCGCAAATTTTATCACGATGTGCGATGGTGAAATTGAGCGGCTGGAATTAGTCCGAACAATTCCTCAGAACACTCCCCGTGGTAAATGCGATAAAATATGCAAATAGATGCAAGACCTCTATGCAGTGCCAGGGTATCGAGCTGATCAGAAAGAACTCGGTCGTTGACAATTCTGTGCTGGATGCGGTCTGTCTACATGACCTTTGAGCGTTTGATTGGTACAGCCGTTGAAACACGTATAATTGTTTTTTTCGTGCGAGCAGCTATGCAGGTCTATTAAGATCTATCTTAATCGCTGCTATGGCTATAGTTCACTGCTAAGCTCTATATCTTAAATGAATTGAAGGAGTTGCTTAGCTGTGAGCAATTTTACTCCTTCTGGGCTAAGTACGTATTTTCCCAGATGAGTGTTACGTTTGCGCATTAAGGGTCCACAATCATTTAGGATGTGCATGTTAGTTTTGTATTGAAATTAACAAGAAGAGAGAAACTGCCTAGTAACGCCATCTATCGTCAATAAAGGTCTAGCATTCTATCATTCACTCTATGTCTATGTAAAATGTACCTACCTATGTAAAGCTTACCTATGAAATAAAAAGTTAGTCTGTTCAAAGCTATTCAACTCATTTTATTAGGTTATGGGCCCAGACTCATATTTTCGGAGAAATAAGTACTCGTTTTCGTTCTAAAAGCCGCTGAATAACAGAGAACAATAGTAAATAGTGAACTGTTGTGGATTTGAATAGAATTTGTTCAGATTAGAACTTTTTGTCGTATTTGTGTTACGTTTTAAACACGCTTGAACAATGGCCGGCAGTTGCATTGCAAACGCGCCAAAACTCAAAAGACGTGAAAACTATGACGAGTGGGCGTTCGCCGCAGAAAATTTCCTCATTCTGGAAGGATTGGATATAAACGTGAAGCGAGAAACCGCAGCAGCAGCCGCTGCCGACATCGACGCCGAAGTCGCCGCCGCTACGGATTGCTAGAAAAAGGCTAAAGCAAAATTAATTATGACAATTGATTCATCGCTTTATGTCCATATTAAGAATGAAACTACTGTCCGGGGTGTGTGGCAGCGTCTGAAACTACTCTTCGATGATTCTGGATTCAAAAAGAAAATCAGTTTACTACGGCATTTGATTTCCATACGCCTAGAAGATTGCTAATCCATGACTGTCTACGTAACTCAAATAGTGGATACGGCGAATAAACTACGAGGAACCGGATTTGAGATTACTGACGAGTGGGTTGAGTGTTTACTTTTGACAGCATTAACTGAAAAGTTTTCGCCAATGATAATGGCCATCGAACATTCTGGAATGGCGGTCAGTACAGATTTATCAAATCGAAATTGTTAGATATGAGCGCAGAGGTTGGCAGCACCGAGAATGATAGTGCATTTTTGTCGAAAAGTTGGCAGCATCGTAAAAAGCAACAAGGCAATATTGGTAGCTCTGAAACGTCAAAGGCAAAGACGCCATTGAAAACAATTCGCTGCTATAAATGTAAACAAATCGGACATTATAAAAATCAGTGCAATAACAAAAGTAAAGACAAAGAAAGTGCAGTTTTCAACGCGTTTTACTTGAGTTCGGCGTACAAGAAGACAGATTGGTACATTGACTCTGGTGCCAGCGCCCATATGATTGCCGACAAAGAAAGTTTGTTTGATATTTCCTACACCCCGACCATGAAACGAATAGTAATAGCAAATGATACAACAGTACCAGTGTTATGTTCAGGAAACACCATGTTAACGATAGTTGTAAAAGGTTCAGAGTTCAACATTAAGGTTACAAATATCATGTGCATTCCTAACCTCACTAATAACCTTCTCTCTGTTAGTGAGTTGATTAGAAATGGGAACACAGTGACGTTCGATGGAATGATTTGCAATCAAAAGAATGTCATTGTTGGAGAAGCCCATTTAGTGAATGGAGTATACGGACTTAATGTGAAGCAGCAATGTTTATTAGCTGGCTCAGCAATGCAAGACACAAGTATGTTATGGCATAGGAGGTTGGGCCACATAAACAGCAAGGACATAAATAATATGAAAAATGGCGTTGTAATGGGGATATCTTATCCCGATAATGCAGAAATTGACAGATCCCAGTGTGTCACGTGTTGTGAAGGGAATCTGACGAGACTGCCATTCTCACACAAAGGTATCAGAAGCGAAGTTGTGTTAGAAGTGATGGATGCGGATGTCTGTAGTCCCAAGGAGACAGTCTCTATAGGAATGTCAAGGTATTTTCTCCTATTTATCGACGATTACAGCAGAATGTCATTCGTATATTTTCTAAAGTCAAAGAGCGAAGTAATGATGTACTTCAGAGAGTTCAAAGCTATGGTGGAGCGACAGACAGGAAAAAACATCAAGGTACTGAGAACAGATAACAGTGGAGAGTTGTGCTCATCGGAAATGGAATGTTTTTTGAAGAAAGCTGGAATTGTGCATCAAAAAACTAATCCATACACACTAAAGCAAAACGGTATCTGTGAAAGAATGAAAAGAACCGTGGTTGAGAGAGCTCGATGTCTTCTTTATGATGCACGATTGGATAAAAAGTTTTGGGCTGAAGCAGTGAACGCTGCAGTTTACTTATGGAATAGAACATTGGCTTCAGGTCTACAAATTACTCCATATGAACTCTAGTTCGGCAGAAAGCCAGATCTCAGCCACATAAGAGTCTTCGGAAGCACGGCAATGGCTCATGTTCCCAAAATAAAAAGAACAAAATAGGACAAAAAGGCAGAAAAATACATTTTCCTCGGATATGCAGAGAACACTAAAGGCTAAAAAAATTATATAATCCTGTAACTAAAAAAATTCTTACCAGCAGAGATGTTGTTATCATAGAGGCCAGTAAAGACTCAGAAATGGTACAAGCAGTGGTGGAGAACAAAGAGGAGGAAGTTACAGAAAAGGAAGAAGAAGAATCAGATAGGCCTGCAGAGATGTATCAAACTCTCATAATCGACGATAGCAATGTGACAGCAGATAATTCGAGAGACGAGACAAACATACCTAGTGAAGAAGAAAGATCAGAGATATCAACCAGTTCTTTAAATTTTGAGGAGTGTACGAGCGAGATAGAGGATGTAAAGTATTATGAGCCTGTGAGTAAACTAGAAAGGCGTGTGACAAAACCACCACAGAGATATGGTTTCAGTAATCTATGCGTAATTGAAGATGAAAATATAGGTAATGAATGTCTTACCTATGAAAATGTTATCAATGATACTGAACGAGAAGAGTGGTATAAAGCAATGGAAGACGAATTGCAATCGTTCCGAGATAACGATGCATGGAGCTTAGTGGACAAACCTAGTGATGCGCGTGTTGTGCAGTGTAAATGGGTCTTTAAAAGGAAGTTAAATAGTAATAACACAGTGAGATATAGGGCCAGATTGGTTGCAAAAGGTTATACGCAAAAACAAGGAATTGACTATAAAGAAACTTTTTCACCGGTTCTAAGATACTCTACTTTTAAATTGTTATTTGATATAAGTGTTAACTTAGACTTAAACATAACCCATTTGGATGTGACAACAGCTTTTTTAAATGGTCAACTCAATGAATGTGTGTACATGCAATTGCCTAATAATTTAAAAAATTTAAG